ATGAGTGAGTGTGTGCATGTGCTTGTGTACATGTGCTCGTGTGCATGTGCTAACTATTGTATTTCAGTATTGCAGCCAAGAAGGATGAATGAAATCCAATATGTTGTAGCTATTGAACTGTTTTTATGTAATGGAATGCTCATGTGTTTCAATGGAACAAACAACCAGCTGCTACTTCTCAACCTGCACTGTGTGTGACTATTAGTAAACGCTACATACTAACAGAATACGTACACACACACACACACACCATGCTTCAAGTCATAATGATTTATTTAGCTTCAATCCACGTCTAACTCATACATCACATGTTAATAACAAACAGTTAAGGAAGGGAGTGTATGAAATATGGCAATGTGGCAGAATTAGACAGACTCTGGAGTTTGTGTGTAAACACAAACATTGTGTAGAAACTCAATCCAGAAATAGTTCCCAGGTCTGATAATATTTTCTGCTACATCTGCGCAAACACTGGGATTGTTGGCCTGAATGTTATGCCATATAAATTGCTGTGGTTTTCAGTTGTATAATACTGTTTATATTATGGTCATTTGTGTTTTTCTGTGTTACCCTAATACCTATATTTACTGAATTTCTGGTTAATAAAAAAAAAAAAAAAGCCAAGAGAGACATCTCCCCCATCCCCTCTACGTCTGGTCTGGATCTGGAACACAGCTTAAAACACATATACAGAAGATAAGTCCACACAAATAAAACTGCAAAATAGCTCTAAAACTCGCTGACATGCTGTTCCCATCCCCACCTTAAGAGAAAAAAAATTATATATATACACCAAAAACGTACCTTTGTTTCAACACCAAGGCCAAGTTCTCCCTGCTGCCTGAGCCTCCTCCAGTGCCATCACACACCTACACTGCAATGGGAAGGACATCCTAGAGGTTGAGCTGAGAGTAGGACTTGGGCAGCATGGAAGTAGGAGTTGTGCTGCTGTTCGTTAGCATGCTATTTGACTCCAAGCACCATGACCACTTCAATTCACTGACGTTGTCATGGTACATTGAGTAACCCTTTAATGGTGAAAGGCAATATAATTGGCTGGATGAATCCTGTAGATATACAATAGCATTAAAGGAACACTATAACATTAGGAATACAACCCTGCTCTATCTGCTTCCTGTGACATCAGATCAACGCTTCTGAAAGTCCAAACCAATGCTCCTCACAGAGCTGCGCTCCTATTGGATGGAGGTTAGCTGTGAGAAGCGAGTTTGAGTAGGTTCTCAAAGTAGAAGTACCTCTGGTGGTCGTCATGTAGAGACAAAGGGTACTGTGATAAGATAAGTTTTGCAGTACAATGTTCTACTGAGTGAGGGGATAGAGATCTTTACCTGAAACTTGAGAAGGTATAAGGGCAAATCACCTGGTCGCTTCCATGTATCTGCTATGGGGCTGAAAGAATAAATTTGCTTGAACATGCATACTTTATAGAATAACACCACTGCTGCTCAGCTGATGGGAGGGAGCTCGCCCAGGTTTTCTCTCCCCTTGCCTGGGCCACGAAGATCCACCAGCTCACAAGCACTAAATCTAGACTGAATGCGGGACAGGTCCTGTTTTTCCCAGGACATTAACCCAAAACATGGGACTATGCTGGCAAAAACTGGACAATTTTCAACAATTTTCTTATTTCACCTTTTGAGAAGTCATCATTACTGATTTTAGAATGGACAGATGTTTTAATGAAAGCTGAAAACTGCATTTAGGTTGTCTAAAATCAGTTTTGTTTTTTTATATAATACTTTTTTTTATTTTATTCTGCTAACATTTTCAGAGTTATTCACTAAAGAGAGAATTGTTGGGAGTTTAAAATGAAAATCAAAGTTAAAAGACACTATAGTCACCAGAACAACTAAAGCTTAATGTAGTTGTCCTAGCAAATATAGTCAGTTCCTGCAGGCGTTTTAATATAAACACTGCCTTTTCAGAAAAGGCAGTGTTTACATTAATGCCTTGCAACACCTCTAGTGACAGTCACTCAGATGGCCACTAGAGGTGCTTCCTGCTACAGTGCTGCACAATGATCTGCATGGAGGAGTTGAACGTTCCTCAGAGATGTATTGATTTAATGCACCACTATGAGAAGATGCTGATTTGGGCAGCGCAGCGTTTTACCTTGCTGACAGGGGGCCAGGGCCTAAAAAAATACTAGTAGAACTATAGTGTCAGGAATATACGTTTGTATTCCTAAAACTATAGTGTTCCTTTAAGGGTAAATGACCAGACTGGAAACATTTTCCAAGTCAGCTATGCTTCCAGTTTGAAATGCACTTAAAATTCCCCACAAATCTCCCCTTAAATAATTCATGATGATTTTCTCCAAAGCCTTAGGATAGTAAATAAGAGGTGTTTGAACTGGTTATATCAAAATACACCATGCTCATACAGGTAGTGGAAATATACTGTGTGCTATTACATAACATGTCCTGTGCTAATGTGAAGAATTTAAACAATGTGACCATCTAGCTACAAGTCTGAATAATATTCACTTTATCCATACCGTTTAGACATTTGTAAGATGTGATCTAAAGAAGCAGAACATTTGGAACAGATTGTGAAAGTTCATTTTCAGTTCAAATCTAAAATTATTATAGGTATCACTGCTTGTAGTTATCACTGCTTCTGTTAATTTCTTTGGGATGTGAAGTTTTTTGGGCTGGAGGGCAAACATGTGCCTATATCGGGTATAAATCAAGAAAGTCAAGGCCAGGCACTCAGGATGTTGCAAAAAGCAGACTTATTGAATCAAAAATATAGAGATTGATACCGCACTCCAATAATAAATGCTCAAAAAAAAAAGTTTAATACGTATTATTTATCCATCAAAGTTTTCTTATCAATAAGAGTCAGTGCAAAGTTTACTTTAAGGTGAAAAAAAGGGAGCTACTTTTTTTTATATCCTCAAGTGCAGTATCAGTCTCTATATTTTTGTTTTAGTATTTTGAGGTCCGTCATAGGTGGGGAACCTTGATACCTGCACCAAACGACAGTTTGAGTGCCAACATATACTTCTCTTTTATCTTATTGGAACAAAGGAGCAACGTTTCAGCTTGCACAGAGGCCTTTGTCTTCCCCTGGAAGAGCTATTATTTGGCAAAAACGCGCGTCGGGACAGTTTGTGGCAGTTAGATAAGGGATGATGCTGCAGCTATAATATATTCTATTCTTCAAACAAGCCACCACTGTGATTTTAATATGCAATATCTATTCACTAGCAAACAACAGTTAGCAATCGAGGTGAGGGGAAGGAGTCTGTCTGTCTCCTTTATTTCGTTTTGGATTTTGGGGATTGGCAACTTTAGGAGTCTAGTCTTCTATAGGTGTGCCCACGAAGGCACTTCAGTTGATATTGGGTGTATATTGGGTGTATATAGGTTTTTCCTATTGTTAGTTACTCCCCTCCCTGTTCCCAGTTATTATTAAAAAAAAAAATTTCTAGCCAATACTCCTCCCCTCTCCTTATTTTCAGCACCAATAGCTGTGATACTTTAAAACATACCTATTTTAACATTTAAATTGATTAAAGGTTATGTCTTAATTTATTTAATGATCAATTCATGGGTTGCACTTGTACTTGGAAGGTATAGGTTTGTGAGGTATGAGTAATTTTCTACCTCCGATCCTTTCTTTCCCTTCGCTCCTACATATTTGAGTTAGGGATTACCCCCCCACACCTAACCAGCAACCTGACACACTCTCCCTGCTTACACTCAATTTTAACTTTCTTTGTCAAGCTATTACCAATATGCACATGTATAGGGTGTAAAACAAATCAATAAATAATCAATCATGCAATTGCCACGTGTGTAAAATCAATCTATGAACAAAATGCATCAATAATCACAAAAAACGAAATATATATCACATTTTGTCAATGTCTAACAACTTATAAATAAATAAAGGTATTTGAAAAAATTTATAAATAAAAATATATCTAGAAACAAAGGATTAGATTAGAGATATAAAGTGGGACAAATCCCTCCACTTCTCCAGGATAGATTAAGATGGACTAGGCCCCAAAACCGGAACTCCAACTAGGGAGTAATCCCTTGCCAGACTAACTTGAGATGGAGCGCCAACCAAAGGCGGAACTAAATGACGTACTTACTGAGATCTAGAAGGCGGGATTCGCCACACCTAAAAACCGGCGGAGTTTACCGTAAGACCAGACAGTAGTCTGCTAGGATCAAAAATACTTGTACATGTAAAAAGATAATAACATAGGCAAACGACGGCCCAAGCTAAGTATAATATACTATGCAGAAAATTTATATTACAGCGCCAGCTGAGGAAAACAAATAGTGAATGACTAAGGCCTCTGTGCAGGCTGAAACATTGCTCATTTGTTCCAATAAATCATCTGCTTTTTGCAATATCCTGAGTGCCTGGACTTGACTTTCTTCATATCTGCTGAATTGGGATTTGCCAACTCTGGGCCCTGAGCACCTGGATTTCTATGGAAGAGTACGGGACTTTTTTGTGTATGGGATATAAAGGCAATATGTGGTGCAAGTTTGATATATTGCACAGGACCCCACAGTGCCTTTATCAACCTCTTTGGAGGGCTGCCTGTGGACCCCTGATAAGTACAATAAAAGGATGTACTTTTGTTCATTATTATGTATTTTGTATTTTATATGCTTTCAGTATCACAGTTACATCAATTCACTTCACCTTCGCATGAGACTCTACACTGGGAGTCAAATGCATGTTGTTATTATATTTACTCTGGCTTTTCTTGATAATTGGTAATTGATAAGGTGAACATTATTTACTCTAGCTGAACACTTGTTTAAAGGATCACTATGGGGTCAGGAACACAAACATGTATTCCTGACCCTATAGTGTTAAAACCACCATCTAGCTCCCCTGGGCCCCTCATGCCTCCATAAATATAGCAAAATCTTACTGTATTCAAGCCTGAAGCTGTAACTCTGCATGCTGTTTGCCTCAAGAAAACAAGCAGTCTGCTGACATCATCAGAAGTGGTAGCCTGATCCAATCACAGTGCTTCCCCATAGGATTGGCTGAGACTGACAAAGAGGCAGATCAGGGGCAGAGCCAGCATGCTTCAAACACAGCCCTGGCCAATCAGCATCTCCTCATAGAGATGAATTGAATCAATGAATCTCTATGAGGAAAGTTCAGTGTCTGCATGCAGAGGGAGGAGATACTGAATGTTTAGATGCATTTTAGGCAGCCATGACTCAGGAAGGATCTCTAACAGTCATCTGAGGAGTGGCCAGTGAAGTTATCACTGGGCTGTAATGTAAACACTGCATTTTCTCTGAAAAGACGGTGTTTACAGCAAAAAGCCTGATGGTAATGATTCTACTCACCAGAACAAATTCAATAAGCTGTAGTTGTTCTGGTGACTATAGTGTCCCTTTAAGATGTTTTGATAATTGACCTAGAACACCTTAATTTACTGAATACACTAGTACGGGAGTAGGCAACCTTTGGCACTCCACATGTCGTGGACTACATCTCCCCTGATGCTTTGCCAGCATTATGGCTTTAAGAGCAATTATGGCAGTAAGAGCATTGTGAGAAATGTAGTCCACAACATCTAGAGTGCCAAAAGATGCTTACCCCAGCACTAGTGCACAAAATGCGGTTCACGTGGGCCGAACAAATCAAAATCCTTTTAATGTACCCCAGAACTAAACATGCAGGATCTATCTATGTAGCTGTATTCATTGAATAAGACTCCACATGTGAATTCCAAACAAAATGATTAGTTTCAAGGTAGATTAAAAGGAATTTGATTTGTTTGATCCCATATACAATGATTTGTGCAAAAGTCTTGCATACAGAGTGAGTGTTTTAGATCCAAGGTTTTCATTATATTTTCTGTCATTATTTTGTCTGGGAGTACCCCTATGAGCAGGGTTAGTTACTAAAGTATGAATTGTTGGGATTTTAAATGGATGTTCAAATTTTGGGCCAAAAAAAGTCAGCCATATTTTAAGTTTGGCTATTTTAGTCTAAGGTTTGATATTCCCTTTAAATTCCCTATGTTTCACACTTTATTGAGTTTCACATTTTATTGAATAAACCTGTAAACTTTGTGTACATTTCAGGCCTGTTCCCATCCATGCACACATCATCCCCTTACCATGGGTTTAGAGGAGATAGCAGGGAGCTTAAAACATATCCATATATCAGGTCCTCCGCTAGAACAGTGCAAAGGTGGAAATGACTGGGGGAAGACTGGTGGAAACACAATGACTTTAAGGGTTTAAAGAGGTATGCAATAATCATGTAAAATACTGTGATGGAGAAGGAAATCGACTTGGAGAGAACTCTACAGGATAGAAAACTTGGATACAGAAAATAATAAAAACAGCATGAGAAGAGGGGTGATACGCTAATAGAGACACAACAGAACAATAAACAAAATACGGTATTCAGATCTATTAAGAGGAACTGTAGGCACTGTTTCTGCATCATCACCTGATACTCATTTTATTCATCATGAAACCCTTTTAAATGTTTAAAGTCCCTGGCAGTCCACCTCTCCTGTCCTGCTTTGGCTAATGAGGATGTATTAGCTTGAGCAGCAATGGGCACCTGTGATTGGCTGAGAGTGTCAGCTGACTGCTTTTAGCCTATCAGAGCTCCAAGTGATGGTATGAATGGGTATAAAAACAAGGGAGTGTGTCATCTCTGCCTTAGCCACACTGCCCGAAGGGGCCAGACTGTGGGTGGCCAGGGACCCTTATTTAGTGTTAAACTGCTCAAAAATGGTTTAACGTTGAATGGAGGGACAGTGCCTGGGGACTCCAGGCATTATAACCAATTCAAAGAGATGAAATGGTTATAGTGACTAGAGTGTCCCTTTAAGTGAGTGCTTTTTGCTCAAGTGAAAGAATGCACATAAATGTGTATATGATCTATAGGCAAAGCATGTATTAATCATTTAGCGGGACATTCCATTGGTTTCCATGGAAACTGCTCAATTTTCAGTACTTTGTCTCACAATGTCTCCTTATAATTATTCTGTTGGTGTATCTAGTTATAATCCCTTTCCAACTGCAAAGTTTTGACAGAATTTATCTTCCATAACCCAGAAATGATGCACAGATTTGTGTGCAGTGTAGCGAGTCAAGGTCTGGTTCATATCCAGATTCAACCATTGCTTGTTTTAAAAGTTTGGAGCAAAGTTTGTTCAGTTTTCTGGGATAACGTAAAAGCGCTGTTGTGTGACACATTCTGGCTCGGTTCGTCCTGGGGCTGGCTCAGCACGCTTGACATGCATTAACCCCTTCCTACCTGCCTTCTTATAAAGTCAAAATAAAGTATAGCCTCTCTAACCAACTAATTCCACAATAAAGTCAAAGTTCAACACACTGTGCATATACAATAGTTTTATTGTGCACATGAGCAATAACATCAAAAGTTTTTGTCTTTAGTTGCAACTAAAGGTGCAGTCCAAGCACCATAACCAATACAGGTATTTGTAATGGTTATGGTAGCAGCATATTTATATTAGCGATATAAAGGGTGCATATGGCCACTTTTACTATAAGGATTCCATTGATTTCCCTGGGGATTCATAGATATGAACCAAGTTACAGTTTCTCTGGATTCTCTGCAAACTCGGCAGAAATTACTATACAGTCTTTGAAGTGTACTTGTATCCCATTGATAGCAGCATATATTTGCAGCTGCTGGCTGTGTAAATGCCAGATTACAACCAATCACTGAACAGTCAGATGATGGGACTTCAGACAGGGTTCTTGGCAACTCAATGAATAGTGAAATTGCTGACTGTGCTCACTGATACATTTAGCCATAGTTACTCCAAACTGCAATGAAGGAACTGTGACAGCACTTAAAGAAACATTGAACCATTTTTAATTTAAAAAAAGTTTTGCCAAATAATTTTTTTTTCCCCTTAAATTATGTCTGTCATGGCCAACATGTTTTGGTGCCACTTTATAGATAATACATTTTCACTTTTGCATTATACAAGACACAATTTTAACCAAGGTATATACTAGTCATACCAGATCATATTTATACAGGTGTATATATTTTACTTTCTGGGTTTACATGCTATAAGCCTGGAAATCAGAATTGGCAGTTTAGAATTCCATAACTATTACAGTTAGTACAGCCAATTTACCAACTGGTAAGCCATTTCCCTGCCTAACAGGGTTTTTTTTCACTATAGTAAGGATTCAAAGTAAATTTCAAAGTTAAGATCATAGCAGCTTATTAAAGGGACACTATGGTCATCAAAACAACTTTAGCCTAATTAAACCATTTTCATGTATAAATCATACCCCTGCAGTCTCACTGCTCAATTCTCTGCCATTTAGGAGTTATATCACTTTGCTTATACAGCCCTAGCCACACCTCCCTGTTTCTTTATTGCAAATTCTGCTTAATTTAGAATTTATCTTTTATCTCCTGCTCTGTTAATAGCTTAGTAGACCCTGCTGGAGCCTCCTGTATGTCATTAAATTAAAATTTACAGCGCAGGAGATACAGACTTTTAAAGTAAGTTAATACGTGATTGAAAATGAAACCATTTTGCTTTCATGCAGGTTGTGTCAGTCACAGCCAGAGGAGGTTTGGCTAGGGCTGCATAAACAGAAACAAAGTGATTTAACTCATACATGGCAGAGAATTGAGCATCAGAACCAGAGGCATGATGTATACACCAAAACTGCTTCATTAAGCTAAAGTAGTTTTGGTGACTATAGTGTTTACGTGGAAAAATAAGTGAGCTAGGGTTCAGTTTGTCTACTCTGGCCTTAAATTATAAAATTCAATTTAAATTCTCACAATTGTGAATAACTCTGTTCGTGTTTGTAATATTTACATAGCAGTGAGTGATCCTTCATGAACACTGACTACCAAAGAATTTCCTATCTACTACTGTTCAGGGTAGGTTAGAAGAAGTACAGGGCAGAAAGCCTACTTTAGTTCAAACAATTACTGGACTACCAATAAGTTCTATTTAGTTTACATTTGCTTCATAGCACTTTGCATTGATATAAGATTAAAGATCAAAGTTCTGGTGAATAACCAAATAATCTCTGAATAATTTCGTTTTATTCTGGAAATTTTCAAATGTGAATTATAAATACCGATGCTCTTTCCCACTATGTTATTATTTTGCGATTTTTCTGTAATGTTATCCTTTCGAGTAACTTTTTGTATTATATATTCTGTTTATTAAAATTTAATTTTTTTTGTGCCAATTTCCGCGTTCCCTTTTAAACAGTAAATTAATTTATAATGGTAATTTAACACATGCAAAACTAGTGTAGTTCTTTAGTGCGATCACAGTGGAAACCAATGGAATATTTGGATATTTTTACTCTAGATTGCTCTAGCATTTTGTCCCAAACTGACTGCAGATTCATGACCCTGTGTTTATTGAAGTGTTCATTACTGAAGGCTGCTAATCAGTAGCATGTAAATCTGTCACTGAATAATGTTTATTCCTTGTGTTGCATTGATTTGTGGACGGTCAGATTTACCCAGAATTCCCGCCACCACCAGCACTTGTTCTCTACTCTCTGTAACTGAGCCAAGGATTTACATCAGTTTCTCACTACTTTGCATCAGTCTAGGAATGTCAGACCTTCCGACACAGGGTCACAGTATACTGATGTAAGATATTCCAAATACACAACCTCTGTCAGCTGAATAAGCATCCGAACATAGTACAAGTGACAGTTATCTTTATATAAAGGCTTTCTCTTGCCAAACAAATTGAGGCTAGAATTAGAGTAAGGGTTAGACATTTAGGTGAAAGTGGCATCCATCCTAAAACAGTGCAGTCAAAGTTGGATATTAAAATCTTGAGCATCAATGTTGCTGCCGTCCTAATCATAATGTAATGATGTTCCAGTAATTATAGTGTAGTAATACACCATGCAGCTGTTTGATTGGAGGGACATTTGATCTACTACAAATGAATCTATGGAATTTGAAGAATTAGTATAAATCTCCTGAATGAATTAGTTATGTGAACCACTAGTTAGACAACTCTGTCCTCTGTGAATGGAACCGAATTGATCCTTACATATTTTGCTTTTGTGATTTGTAGTTTAATCCTAAGCCTTTGATACCCTCACAGTTAACTCTAACCTCTCACCTGGTTCATTCACTACACATACCACCTGTTTAAACCGTGCAGCTGCCAATCATTTTCTTACCAACAACAACTTACTATTTTATTTATTGA